CACTGTTAAAAAGACAAACAAACAAATAAAAATAGTACTCCCCGGCCCCCACCCCTGAGCGGTGGGTGGGGGCCCTAAAGGATAATGAGGGGAGGGGACCTATTGTCCCCCCCGGCCCCCACCCCTGAGTGGTAGGTGGGTGTCATAAATAACAATGGGGGGACCTACTGTTCCCCCGCCCCCACCCCTGAGTGGTGGGTGGGGGCTATAAATCATAATGATGGGGGGGGGTATTGTTCTTCCCCCAGGCCCCCACCCCTTAGCGGCGGGTGGGGGCCATGAAAGACAATGAGAGGAGGGGGCAATATTCCAAGGTGACTAGGGGTCCCCACGCCCCTAGTCACCCCCCCACCCAAATAAAAAAGAATCCCCTACCTACCCCCCTCACCCTAAAAATAGTGAGGGGGGAATAAACTAACTAACTACCTGTAAAAAAAAATCTAATACAATTTACCAATGTCTTCTTTTTTTCTAAAATCTTAATTGTTCAGCTCCAAAAAGGCCAAATAAAAACCATAATACCCATCGAACTTGTAAAAAATAAAAAAGAGCGAAAAAAAAAAATATATATATCAGACGAAAAAGAAAAAACCTGAAGCTAAAATAATAATTAATCTTCACCCGGTGAGGGCACGACGCAGACTGAGCTCTGCAGGGCGGGGGAAGGCTTATAAAGCCTTGCCCATCCCTGCAATTACGCTCAGAACACTCTGATTGGATGGATTTCAAGCCATCCAATTAGAGTGTTCTGTGTCATTTTACACAGCGTGGGAAAATTCCAAAGAACCTTCCCACGCTGTGTAAAATGACTCATGATACTCTGATTGAAATCCTTTCAATCAGAGTGCTCTGTGTCATTTTACACAGGGTGGGAAAATTCCAAAGAACTAGCACTCTGATTGAATTCAAAGACAACCAATCAGAGTGTTCTGAGCCTAATCGCAGGGCGGGGCAAAGCTTTTTAACCCTTTCTCCACCCTGCAGAGCTCAGTTTGCGCCGTGCCGTCGCCGGGTGAAGATGTATTTTTTTTTAGCGTTGAGTTTTTTTCTTTTTCATCTGATTTATATTTTTATAATTTTTTTTGCGCTCAGGTTTTTTACACGTTCGGGTATTATGGTTTTTATTTAGTCTGACATCAAATGGTTAGTGTTTTTATTTTTAGGGTGAGGGGGGTAGGTAGGGCATCCTTTTTATTTGGGTGGGGGGTGACTAGGGGCTTGGGGACACCTTGGAAGGGGGGCATTTTAATTTAGGGGCCCCACCCGACGCTTGGGGGGGGTGTCTTGGGGACCCCTACTCACCTTGGAAGGGGGGCATTTTATTTTAGGGCCCCAACTGATGCACAGGGTGGGGACTCGGGGGCAGTCACAAGTCTTTCATGGCCCCCACACGCCGCTCAACCTATTGGTCTCCCCCTTTTAAGTCTTTAAATTCCAGTTTTGTCCACTGGTTTTCTCGGTTTCTTTGCACTACTTGCTCCTTAAAATTATACCGGTGAAAACAAATGATTGTCTCTAGGAGCACTTTTAGGAATCCCTCTTGGCTTTGCTAGTCAATCAAATCTGTCCATTGTTTTGCCCTCTTGGTCAATTTTAAGCTCCAGATCTTGAAATAGTCTGTGCAGGAAAACTTCTAATTTATCAGCTGAGTTTAATCCCATCTGTATGTTGTTCCTACAGTGTCTATCTTCTAAAGCAGTGACTTTATTCTCCAGTATCTCATGGTTTTTAATTAGATTTGCAAATTGATCTTTAATCTCTGCTTGTTGGAAATCCAGTCCAGATATCATTTCTTCAATATTCTGTACTTTTTGTGATAATTGTGAGATTTTTTTTTTTTTTTAAGTTCATTAGTATTTCTCTGGATTTCAGTTGTAGTTTTTTTTTTTTTTCGGTGAAGGGGAGTTAGCAATATATTAATTAATTTACTTTCTCCCTCTTCTCCCTTCTTTCTTTCCCCCTGCCCCTATGTCTTCCCTGCACACCTCTCTTGGAGGGATATTATGCTTTGTTTAATATAATCATTAATTAGATGTGTCACTGTGATAGTAAAGGAAATGCAACTTAATACTCTGCTTAATTATTGTATACCAGCTTCTCCTGCTGCAATAATCACTGTGTTCTCTGGGGTTATCAACTTTCCTGCTGTGATGTTCTCTGGATTTATAACCAGCTGCCTGTGTTTATCCAGTTAACTTCCTTTATTCTTTTTTTTTTTTTCCTTTTCCCCCTTTCAGCTCCTCTCCAGTGTTCCACTCTCTCTCCAATTTCCTTTACAAATGTCACTGCTGCTGTGTCTCCCCGCGATTACTTGCCGTCCACCAAAGCCATACTTCTGTCTCTTTCCCTGCTTGAAGCCGCTGCTGCGTCTATTTTCTATCCGCACCCAGTTTGTTTGCTTCGCACCACACCACGTGATGCATGTTCGTGCAGATCACGTCATCACGTCCCTGCCATTAACCTTTCCTTGTCGAGTTAGTTTTCCTTATGTGCGTAGAAATTGTTGCATGTAAAACTGAGAAAAAAACATGTTTTGCTTTTTTTTTTTCTCACTATTTAATATTGCATGATGCATACATATAGAGTATTACAATAAAGCTCTATTTCTCCTTTGAAAATTATATATAATTGATGCACTTAAAGTGGCACTGTCATGGCCAAATCCATTTTATTAATCCCTCTCCTGACTCCACTACCTCTAATTGCCCCATTTTCACCCCCCAAATGCCCCCCCATATTACCAATGTTTTAATCTTTATTTTGTGCCCGGACCTAGGTCCTGGGCGCCGCCATTTTTGTGTGGTCAGATGAAAGCCCTGTGGGACATGTCATCTGCCCACACTAGATAGCGCTGTTAAATTCCTGTGCATGCCCAGTTAAACACTGGGGCATTCACTATTGTCCGAAATTAGGTCAGGTAGTTTGTCCATTAATTCGTCAGACAAATTAATGGACATTTCAGATGAACCAACAAACACTGAATGCCGGTGTTTGTGTGTTCATTCGTTCAGTTTATTACAAGGAGGAAGCTACCGGCTTGCTGCTCCCTCCTTGTAATATTAAAAAATAGAAGTGGCGGGGAGCAGGGCTCACTTGTTCTCTGAACCAAATGGCCTGAGGATATCTTGTAGTAAAACTGATTGTTACATTTTCACACCATTTTGGTTTGTCTGAGTAATTTTTCTATAACAATTGCATGGACAAAATGTGTCCCAGCCGAAACAAATCCTGAAAGCTGAATCAGCTGAAAAAAACACATTATGCTGTGGACAAACCAAATGTTTCTGCTGTGCACAAATCTGCTAAGCACTGAAAGCATTGAATAAATGTCTAGAAAGGATTTAAACAAAATTAGTGATAATAGAAAAATAGAAAAAAAAAATAATAATTAACAAATTTTAAGCTGTACTTGTATATTAAGGTAACCATTTTCTTGATATTTTTTTTTTTTTTTTATATTTTAGCATGGCCCAAAGCTAGGCCTTTATTTATATGAACTACTGCACAATCATAAAGAAGAGCTGACAAAAGAAGAACAGAAGACTGGAGGACTATTTATGAGTGCATTAAAATCGGCTGGTTTCAAATGTGTGCCTCCTAATGCTCCACCTAAGCCTGATTTAATGAAAGCTATACAAGAGGTACGGTAACCATTATGATTATTCTTATTAGTTACAGTGTACATATGTATATACAAACCCACGCATTCAGAAATTCTCTATTTCCCACCCACCCACCCACCCACCCACCCACACACACACACACGCACTGGTACATATATACACACAACAAACAGATACACACTGGCAAATACACACAGATATACACACCAGCACTGACACACTGATACACACAGGTGCCCACACTGGCACATGCACACAGATACACACTGACACACATCTGTACATTAGTTAGCTTGCATTCTTTGTCCTGTGAAGCCATTTTATGGACATGTTTTTTTTTTTTTTTTTTCAGTGAGACTAGTCTATGGTAAAATCAATATTTACTTTCTGTGTGTTTTTCTTAAAAAAAAAAAAAAATATATTTATACAGTGGTCAATTTAGAACTAGATTACATAGATTTATGTTAAAAACTGTCAATCCCTTAAGGACACATGGCGGCAATATTCCATCATGATTCCATTTTATTCCAGAAGCTGTGTCCTTAAGGGGTTAAAGGGAGAATTCAACCAGTGTAAACATGTGTGCTTCCTGCAGAGGTGGTAATGGAAGTAACTCCTCCATTACTATGTTCTTGAGCACAGTTATTGGTATTTGCAGAAAGCATTGCAGCCATATCCCCACACCTGCATTAACAAAGCTCCACATTTGTCCAGTCAATAACTTTAAGTGGGCACTTATTATGCATGTACCTACCTATTCTTTAGTATCTTTCAAAGTCATCTGTGAAGTAATTTGATCCATGGTAACACAATTACCTCTGTTGCTCTGTTCACAAGTGCATTGACTGAGTGTGCTTCTTAACAAAAGTTTATGGAAGAGATATATATATATATATATATATATATATATATATATATATATATATATATATATATATATATATATATATAGTATAGTTGAAAAAGGATGCACTCAGAGGTCTTTTTAGAAGAAATATAGTGTATTTTAATCCATATAAGGTTTACAAATGACTTGATATATATATATATATATATATAT